TTCACCAAGAGGACATGTTTCATCCGGCACATGATTATTTCCAGCCCATGCTGTCAAGAAACGGTATATCGTTCCATTAAGTCAAATTGTAAACGCACATTACAAAGTATTTATCCCACGGCGGTTCGCATTCTCAACGATAGCTTTTACTAATGTATTAAAGCTCAAATGCTGTTTTTTTAATTATGCTGCATAACAGTTATGTCAAACTTGGGGTTCTTTAAACATATATTTAAGTTGTTAATTTATGTTGTACATCTTTCTGAATTGTTATTATACACATTTTAATATACATAGATACGCCAAAACGAAAAATATTTCACAAGGAGGTGAAAATCAACAGTATAGTAAGCATGGTAAAACTTACTGTTGCCTATTCAAACGAAAAATGCAGCACATTCAAATACATGTGATATCATGTACAGACTATTAACACACCAGAAAACACTCATGACACCTAAAGCTAAGGTGATAAGGTTGCTTTTTTTACGCATCGCGTTTTTTAAAGAATTTTGGGGTCCACAAAATTCACTTTTTATGACTTGGACACTTCTATTCCGGTGTTATGTCAGGTTTGTGCCTTTAAGTGTATGTCAAATGGTTTGGTCTGAATAAAAACGGTTACCAGAAAATGAACAGAAATGTTCATGCACACAAAGTCTGTCAACAAAATAAATGACCCGTGTCAATAGCAACGATTATACTTGTAGAGAATCACAGAAGTGATTTTGGCAGTGAGGTAACACCAATAACGCCAGTCAATATTTCTCAAGAAATGAACTGACTTTGGAAACAGTAAAATTGGCCGCATCCAAACCCCTTTCAACCCAAAACAATTTCCATGCAACTTATTTACAAGAGGCCTACGGACATTCCCGTAAGAATTTGTCCTCGTTCAGAAGTTCACTTCATGGTCCTTTTGAGTTCCCATCATACGATCCCATCCCATGTATGCCTGTATGATGTACTCACTGTAGCCCCAAATACATTCAAGAGCGTGTGGGAGGGGTATACGAGACGGTGACGCGTACCGAGACTTATTCCTGCCAATCACGCATTCACAAATATCCGTGCATACCATCGGTCATGGGTTGGGCCCCGTGTTGGGCCGAATTACTGCCAGACGTGTTACGACTGTGTAGGGCCAATGCACTATGCAGAACTATAATTAGTGTGCTTTTACCGAATGTTCTTGAGTTTCAACGCTTTTGAGTATTTGAGCCGAATCAACGTGCAGCAGCGCATTCCATTGTTTGAAGGCAATGACCAGAAAAAAATAAGATCGAGAAAGATGGAAAGCAATTTGGTTTGTTCGTGACCACGCCTATACTGAAGTTCTGCGTGTGGGTTGATGACGGAAGTTAAGTCCGAGCATGGTCCCAAAGAATTACAACGTCTCTTTGTTGAATGCTACGGTACAAAAACTGCCGCAACAGCTAAAAACCAAGCTTGCAGCAGGTTGCAGTAAATGCTCTTTGGCGTGATTTCAACAAAGTTTTAAGAAAGCGACAACAAAGTCCTGAATTCAAACGCTTTTCATGTGCAGAATATTCGGCTCCAACGAAACACCTCGACAATGTGCGAAATAGGAAACCATCATAATGGAACTGCTTACAGTTATAACTGGATTGGTTTCATGATCTGCTTTGTAAATAAACAGAGAAATAAAATATATGCAATCGCAAAGAAAAGAAAGAGATAGCGCAGTTAAGCACGCACGTATCCAAATTTAAAAAGTACAAATAATATGTCATATACGATTGCTTGAATATTTTAATGTCACCATGCAAAAATAACGAAAAACCTTCAATCAAAAGTGATAACAATAAACATCTATTATTGTTTCGGTATAACTGACATTTCTTGACTGCCGTGTTTTCTTTGCACACGCGTGCAAATCAGAACAAACGTTTAACATCTCCGCAGTTTTTTTTTTACGTGTATAGGCTTTTCTTTTGCAGTTAGCAGAAGCTTTTAAGCATGAATTCATAAGAAAAGAAGCAATTAAAAAACAGAAAAGAAAATCAAGAAATAAATTAAACGCAACATTAACAAGAAAAAAAGTCAAAAATAAATATTTAACAAATGAGTGAATAAATCATAAAACAAAATTACGACTTCTCTTGGCCAAAGATTCAAACATAAATTTATGGAATAAATGAACTGGCGCTATCAACAAGGGAAGAATGAATATGCCTTTTAAATGTAGACGCGTGCAAACTGATGTGTGAAGGTCAGATTAGACAACCCGAAACCAAAACTTAAAAGTGAAACTTTTTTCGTATTGCGTTGTTACTAAAACAATACGACAAGCGAAATCACAACTAACCCAACTGTCGTGTGCAGTCCCTTTGGCTCCAACGCCATATGCTGTTATGTATTATCTTCCCATCGTTTGAAACTAAAGTAAAGATTTATATAACTAACTAGCTTGCTCTCGGTTCATTGCACGTTTTGATTTCAACCGCGGCATCGGTGATTATTTGTAATTATTTATATATGCTCAACAGACAACTGATCGAAACATTAGCGTTGACCAACATTTTCACGAGTTTTAACGACAAAGCAGAAATGACAATGTTGATTTTCACTGGAATTGGAAACTGAATGCTATCATTTCCTTTTCCTTGAGTGGTTAGCCTACGTCAGTTTAGTAAGCGTCTAGGAAATTAGTCGTATAACGTGCACAAGTATTTTACGACAGGAATGATGAAATCCAAAAATGATAAAGAATGATATGAAAGAATTTCCATTTTTCTACAGTTTTGCAACTTTTTGCATGGTGAAATTATATTGCTTCAAATACAGCCAGCTTTGTTAACCAATTTGATTTTCATGTGTTCTTTACTTTAAACTTTAGAAAAACCTTACTCGCTGTTCAATGGCACGTACTAGTTGAATATATACGACTGAAATAAAAGTGAATTAACACGAAAATAAACGATCGACGAATAAGTAATGAAATGATTCGTGGCTAGGAAATAAACAATCCTGCATATAAGTCACACAAATTAAATTCGGATGCTAAATGAAACGTGTTTTTTCTTACATTTGTAAAAAAACATATGTACAGACTTAGATCCTTATTGCATAACACATTTAAGTTCCTACCTTGTGACAATTTGAGACGTTGAAGTTGTCACTGCAATGCAGCTGGTCCTCAAACAATAAATGAATAACCGTAGCAGTCTCATCGCGCGTGATGTTCCTGTCAGCACCAAAGGAGATTTCTCTCAATTGGCCGAAAATCTCCTCAAAGGGGTCCCCGAAGATCGAATCCGAGTGACCATGGTTGTGATGGGTTTCTTCGGTGGCGATCTCGCCGGCTGCGAGCACGTGGAGCCGGCTGGAAATCCCAAACACTAACAAGTAAATTATGCACACGACACGAAAATCCACTTTGGGGATTGGGGCCATTTTTAATTTCAGCGTGCTATACAGTGAGCAGCAGGAGCGGTTCTACGCGACAAGTCTAGGGAGTTGTTGCACACGGCGTCAGTACCGAGGAGCTCATGAATAATCTGCCGTACTTATGCGTCACTACACCCACGCCCGACTAGACTGGGTATTGTGAATATCCCGTTTTATGTTCCAGTCACGCAGTTGTCATACAGAATGCTTGACCCACAATAAACACATCCCCCTTGCAAACCGTACCACAATACCAACAGGGTTCCTTGCTCAATGTGTTTTATAGCTCCATGATGATACCATGCAACCTCAAAAGAGGCAATTTGCATAATGCGCACGGCACGGTTTTGGACAGATCCATTGTGTCGATAGGGATGTTTCTTTTGGAATACGTACGTGTACATCAGAACAGCAATATTTTAGTGCTGCTACCTTTTTTAAAAGCGTTTCAATTTCTGCTGAAGAAAACTCAAATAACGTGGCCTGTAGTAATATTAAAGATATTTATACTCAGTTTTAAACATTTTGTTCATAACACTCCTTCAAAGTAAAATTCGGTCTAGTATTTAACTGTGACATCATTTTCAAGCAAATTCTTCTTTTTAAACTTGGAATCAAGTATTTAAATGCAGGTTCAATTTAAAGGCAAATAGATTCCCAATTTCATACGGGACTACGCCTAACACCGTGCAGATTGGTTTTGACAGTTGCTTCTGTCCAAGATAACTCCATAACAACCATTTATCAATGGAAAACTAATATTGTGTATAATGGATCTAGGTTCACTACAGCAGCACAGGACGTTGTCAGGCCCAAGGGGTGTAGGTCACTTTGCCCTGTTGGCGGCCACTTCGCCCCTTTTCCACTTTGCCGCGGCAATTGTTGATTGTGTTTGGAAACTCTAGCATTTAAACAAGGCGCCATTTATAAGTGGCGTGGATTCACACCAAGTGACAAGGAATAATGAAGGAACGATATCCTTCCTGTTAATTTTCATCAAAGCTTCCCCTAACGTCTTCTATCCACTGCATTTGCGCCGCACGTATGTTTGAACCGCTCACTTAGTTTGTGTGTACACGCACTTCCCATACTTGTGGGGTATTTCCTTTGTTCTCGTGTACAAAACTCCCACACAACACGCAAAAAATTTCAAATCACTCCAATTTGAACCACATTCACTTTCCTGGGTTGAAAATTCGACCGTATGTTCCTTATATAAACACTTCAATTTGCGACAGATTTTTTTAGTTATTTCCAAATATCAGTTTCGTGAAATTCTTGTGGGGTACCACTTTAGTGCCCCACAAGGGTCAAAACTGGCCTTGTTGGGTACCTTCCACTGTTCCGGTACACCACAGGGCACATATACTTTCATAAGCGCATTGAATCGCACAGAAGCCAGCAGCGAGGCTTTTGACTCGGGTAAGTTGTCCCCAAAATTAAAAGTAATCGATCAACTTCAAGCACAGATATCATTGTTCGCCCATCATTTCCATACCGATTACAATTTAAACACTGAAAGTCCCTTTTGCTAAATTGTACACGATAAAAATCCATTTTCTGTCAAATTTTGGCCCGTTCTTTCGGACTTTTGATGTCCAAAATAATTAACATTTTGGCACACAACTGCATGCTCGACAACTCGAGGGATTTGAACAAGTCTAGCTCATAATGAACATCCGCTTCCAAAATGGCCGTCGCTGTGGACGGCGTGCGATATTTATTCAATGAAATCGCGAGGACGTTCCAGATCTACAACGAAGTACTGACCATCGCAGGGGCATACTTCGTGCTACAGAAAGCCGTGAAGGCCCTGTTGCAAGTGGAGGAGGTCATCAGGATCCACTTCTGGCCCCGTTTACCGGGAAGAAAGCGGGATCTGGCTGGGGAATTCGGGAAATGGGCTGGTGAGCAGGACGAAAGAGGGCGCTTCGAGTATCCGCGAGTCTGAGCCGTTTTGGGGCCGGGAGCTACATGATGTATGCAATCACACGTATGAAGCCAAACCAGCGTTCACAACCATGCACAATGCATGACATCTAGATGCTCAACCAACCATAAAAACTTCACGTGTGAAATTAGGCTCCAATAACATTCGGGCTTTATTTTCCTTTAAAAAGAATCGTCCCTGCCCACAATTCTGACCCGTGATTCGAACCCACACCCCATGCATCGCAAACCACTATGCCGTAACTGCAAATTCACACAAATTGGTGGTGTTTTTACTGTTGATATAATGATAAACGGCTGCAATGCAAGTCTAATACACATTGGGCGTGAGCAATACAAACACAACCATCGTGGTTTGGTTTCATACGTATGGTTGCATATATATCTCGTTTTGGGAAACAGTCGATTGCACTTCAAGCCTCATTGAAAACGGTGTAAAGTCAACACTGTTCAGGACCCAATAACATGCGTAGCCTACCATTTTATTACCAACATCCCGTTCAATTTCTTTTCAATTTTTTTGTGGGTTAACCAATAACATTTTTAATTATTTCCCACAAAGCAAAATTACCCCCGAAAAGTGATTTTTCCGAAGTCTGATTGCAGCCATTTTTCAAGTGGCAACCAACTTAGGACCATTTTTCAACCGTAGTTTTTAGCAATTCTGCTCTCACATGAAAGCTCAGGAGTTGATCCTGACAACGATTCACACATTCTCACCATTTAGGGGCCAAACAATCTCCTTTTTAAAAAGATACAGTTGGGAACACTTTTAATACTAATGAGCTGGCCAAACAGTCTCACTTGAATAAGTGGACTACACCCTTTGAATACAGACATATAAACACATACTAGACCCCAGTCTTGCGCATATCGTAATTTTGAAAAGTATGAGCAAACAATGGGCGAAACAGTAGATGGCAGCTCGTTCAGTGCGCACTGTGCACAACGCACTTACATTGCCTGCAGTTGCTTACATGTGCTTCCAAATACCGTACCTTCTCCTTTTTTGCTTTTTTTTTGGTATGCCAACCAAAGGTTGTATGGCGCCAAGCAGCGACACAAGATGGAGAACTTCAAGGCGAATACACGTAAAACGTTATCACATGGGGGCCATTTGGGTAGGAATACTATAGACATACTGTATGCTATATTAATACAACAGGAGCAGGCAATGCAACAGGCATGCACACATACAGTAAGTGCCTGCGCTAGCCCCACAAATACCGGTAGGGCTGTAGTGGCTCTCTTTTACAATCTGTCTCTTATCTGTCGCCACCATAGCCCTACTTCAAGGCATGTCTTAAATGCCTGAAATCCAAACTGGAGGATTGTCACAAACTTTGAATCCTAATTATCTTCCGAAATGAGAATGACTCGACAATTTTACTTACACTGGCATATTCCTCAGAGTTTGGACTTTCATAGGAGCACCCTAAAACTTATCCAAAATCATAAATTTTCCGATGTAGGACACCTTGAGAAACCCGGCCTGTGGTATTACATGCTGAACACGGGTGATGCCATTTTGAAAAACCAAGCCAGCGCTTCGTGCGTCGGATTTCAAGGCACCCGACAGGTGCTCTGGTGCATTAACCTCCACTCTCGAACAGAGCCCATGGTCATAACATCTTTTTGGCAAACTTCTCCATCTTGTGCTGCTACCGGTACTTGGCGCTATACAATCTTTGATGCCTACTGCTATCTCTTCTTTTTAATTGTTGCCACCGCATTGTTTGAAATCCCTATGGGCCTTATTAAATAAATAGAGGATTTTTTTTCTACAATAAAAAAATGGTTTCAAAGAATTTACGGTAATTGCTTCAATTCTTCAACTGTGCGTATATTCCCTGTACTGATGGGTGAATTCGCCCATACTAGTTTTGTGCTGCTCACATCACGAAAATCCCAGTAGTTTTGAATAGGACCTGGCGGTCTATGGGTTTATATGTCTGTGGTTTTGGGTCTGCTATTTAGCATCAACAAAGCGTCAACAAGTTTTTCATCCTTATCCTTATGGAAAAAATTAGTCTTTTCCTTTTTTGGGCACAGTTTAAACAGTTACTTTCGCACTTCGGGAAAAAAAATCGGAAAATCGGATGAAAGTAAAATTTCATTGGAACTTTGTAGCAGGCATGGTAGGTACATGTACGTAAAACAGTGTTAAATCGAGATTTATGAATCAGAATATAAGGAGTTTCAATAATGAAGTTTCACTGATTGTGAAATATGAGCTAAAAATTTTGCTCGGTTAAGACGCAAAAAGTGAAAAATGAAATTGCGCCATGTTACGGGCCGCACCACGTTAGGATACAGGTATCAACAATAGATCTGAATCAGTGATCCCATTGCTGGTTCACTCCAACTATCAGGCAATTTTTGGTGTAAGTGAACTAATGACAGATCACTGATTGTGATTTACGTGAAACAAAGAGGCCCAGAAATTTACATGTTTGCAGACAGAGTTGGTAATACCTGAAGTTGGCTGAAGTTTTCTTAATACAATACTTATACAGAGGCTGGTAGACTGTTCCAGGTCCCTGTGTCATCTTTCAAACTCTGGATATTTGGGGTGGCAATGACCAGACAGTCAGCCCAGCATCTCTGTTAATGACCCATGCAAGGGTATATACTGTATGCAGCTGTACACAAACCACAAAGGAAAAATGGATGATTTTGTATATCAAATGTTGAACTTTTTCAATTCTGCAGTTGTTACAGGGTCAACTGATGGCATAGGCAAAGCTTATGCTCGGGAACTTGCTAGTCATGGACTCAACATTGTACTGATCAGTCGCTCAGAGGATAAACTCAAAAGAGTAGCCAAGGATATTGGTATGTGCTTGAATGAGGATGTACAGCAATGAAACTACAGGAAACTGGTACATGATAATGGCGGTGATGATGGTGAACTCTTGAGGTGATTGTGAGAGTGGTAGACTGGTGGGGATGATAATGGTGGTGCCGGGGATGGTGACTGTGGGGATGGTGATCATGGTGGTGCAGGGGATGGTGACTGTGGTGATGATGATAATGGTGGTGCCGGGGATGGTGACTGTGGGGATGGTGATCATGGTGGTGCAGGGGATGGTGACTGTGGTGATGATGATAATGGTGGTGCAGGGGATGGTGACTGTGGTGATGATGATAATGGCGCTTAATTAAATTCTGTGGTTCTCATTTCTTTTACCACTTGAGATCAGGTGGGTCCTTCAAAAAAAAAATTCTTTAACAAAAAAAAATTCCATGTTGCTGGTGTAGGGCTATGCACGAACCTCAGTGGGCCCCGGAAAGGTGCAGTATACCGAATGTTCACGCGAACGCTGACCGTCGCTGTCAGTTGTTTGCAAAATCGTAAGTTTTCAGGGCTCTTGATTTCTAAGGTCATGCTGGCCAATTTTTTCCCTTCAGTTTTTTGGGGGGTTTTGGTCTTTTTAGCAGGGTCGGCGGGGGAAAGAAAGCTTTTTTTTTAAATGGTGGTGCAGTGGATGGTGGCTCTGGTGATTATGATGTATGGGATGGCAATTGTGCTTGTGATGACATTGAAGATAATGACAATATTAACCACTTCCTGCCGGCGCAGTTATCAATGTTGATGATGCTTGGCCGGGATATTTATCATTTTTTTTGTTTTCAAAATTCTTTAAAAATTCCTATCTTCATTTACTGGACACTTACAAACACGTGAAAGACTGTCTGGTGGCCCCTCTAGCCTGACAGACAAAATCTATTGACGCCCGAGTATTTCAGCCAGGCCTGCAGTCTTGTAAAAAGAGCCCTGATTGTGGGGTGTTATATAACTTTCTTTTTTTATGAACCTGGCTCAGTGTGATGCTGACTTCTGTTCAATAGGGGCCAGATTAGCGTGCAGTGGTGCTGTGTGGCTCATCGCTGAGGTGGTGAAGCGCTTCTGTCCCCGGTGGTAATCCACTCGCTCTAAATGCCCAAAACCATGCTATACTGTTTCTAAACAAGGCTGGATTATCTCACCTTTTGAGAGTGAAAAATGTTGGTAATGCCCGGCAGCCTGGTCTTTTGTTCCGAGTACGGTCTTTTGTTACAAGGCCTCGTTTCCTTTGTCCCAGTTCGGAGACCCCGGCCATGCATATAAAGCATACATGTCCAGATCCGGAATCCCCGGCAGGAAGTGGTTAAGGCTGACGAGATCATTAACAAAGGGGATAATGAATGTGATCAAGATGGGAGTACACATACCAGTACAAAGACACATGTATTGGACTTAAGTCCAACATAATTGAAAGCCTATGTCATGGTACATGTATGTGTGAGCATAAGAGTGGCAGTAGTATTTCCACTGTGTCTGTTTTCTTGCCTAGAAACCAACTTCACTGTGAAGACAAAAACAATAAAGGCTGATTTCTGCCAGGGGAGTGAAATCTACGATGACATTGAACGACAGATGCAGGGTCTACAGATAGGCATTTTGGGTAAAATCAGTTTGTCTCAGTCACTTTCTTACAGAGCCTGAAAGTTGACCCCTGATGGCATGTATCCAGAACCCCTGAATAGGAAAATAATGTTTAAAACTTGTACAATTTGCAGTTGCATGTATTTTTCGCATTTTTGCTTCTTAAATATTTCGTCTCAGAAAATATCCTCCATAGATTACGGTATTTCCTACATGTAGCTTATAGATTTATGGAAACTGAAAATTACCTGACCAGCATGAAAAATAGAGTGTAACCAACTGGCCTGTCACTCTGAAAATCTCAAATACACTGTACGTGTTGGTTTCTTTTAATTAGTGAACTTGGTTGTAAGAGAGAATTTGAAAAACATTTTGTGGTAATATGTACATGTAGGTAAAAACTAAAATTCAAAACGGAGACCAAGATAAATTGTACCGTGTCCAATTTTTTGATATAAATTTATGGGAATAATTATCATTTACCAAAAAAATTTAAAGTCTAATCCAAGTTTTTATGACAACAACTTCAGCAGGCCATGTATGTTTTATTTACACAACTGTCTGGGAATACCAAGATATGTCGGGGAGATGTTAAATTTTAATATTAGGGTTTTGCCCTTACCTGTACCCTTATCTGGGTGTACACATGTAGTTTTCTTGGGAAATTGGTTCTTGATGTGCTTCACAAAAGCTTTAGACTTTAACTCCCTATATCAGCATGGATAAGATACTTCAAGGGTGTACAGACCACATTGGACAGTAGCAAAGAGATATCTTTCCTTTGTCAGCTTCAGTTTCTGTGTTGTGTCAAAAAGGCCATTATGATAACAATGTACTTGTATGCATTATTTGTTGAACAGCATAGCTTTTGAGGTAAAAATTGATCTTTGAGCCTTGGAGTAAATGTTGCGAGCAATTTTTTGACACAAACTCAGTGTTTTGCTTACGTGCTCCCTTACATGTACATGCTCATGTTGATATTTTCTTCACACTTCGTGTTTCGGCAGGAAAATTTGGTAGACAAAGTGTGGCATTGGGATTTCATTCAGCCCTGTTTTGGTAGACAATTGTCTGCCTTCCCTAGGAATATTCCCAGGCCCTTTTTTATTCTACTGGAAAGAGACATTTATACAGATTCAAATTTGGGTCCCAAATTTTTAGTTTAACAGTGCTTTGCATCTTTTTAATTTGACTATTTTTTATAGTGAACAATGTTGGTGCCATGGACATACCACAGTACTTTCTTAACATGAAATCCGAGAGACTATGGCAGCTGATTAATATCAACATAGGTGCAGCGACTCTGGTGAGTATTGAGTAGGCATGGCTAGTCACGGTGGACGGGGTGTATTAAGTGAGAGAATCACTCAGCAGCTCAGGGAGACTAGGGGCCCCTTGGGAGAACATTTTATTGGTAACCCATCAGGATACCCTGATTAAAACGTACTTCCACATTCATCTTTCTGGTCTTTTTCAGATGACCAAAATCCTGATGCCTCAGATGGTTGAAAGAAGGCGAGGTGCTGTTGTCAACATATCAGCCGCTGCCTCAATTCATCCAAACCCACAGCTGGCTGTGTATCATGCATGCAAGGTAGAATTGACATGTAGCTTGTTAAGATACAAGTACACTGACTATGGCATTTTATTTGAGAGAAAAACCTTAATTCCAAAGACATTTTTGCCAGGAACTCTCCTGATTCCTTCCAAAATCTACTACTGCACGGGAATCCAATGAATCACTCTTTGCTTTGCCAATCAAGGATTGTCAGACTTCTGGTTAATAGTAGCAGCTATGCTTCGTGTTCTTAAATCCTTCAAACTTTAAAACCATTTAGATTTTGGAAGGTGAGAATTAACCTTTCTTATGACTTGGGGTCTTATCAGAAATTAAGCCTGGTGAACTTGGTGTCTTCTGTCATTTTACACTGCTATAAAGGTCATTCTATAAATTCAAGGTCAAAAAGTGTAACGGCTACCTGTCCCCGTTACACCTGACTTGTGTAATTTGACATGGAAATATATCACTGAAATTGATTTCAAATTATCTCTATTTTTTTCAGGTTATTTGCGTTAATTCATCACTCTTGTGACAGGGACACAAATAGATTGGAGCCCTAATTTATAGAATCACCCATAACATACAGAATCATTTGAAAACAAACCATGAATTCCACTGGATCAACTGAATTCCGACGAAACAGTCAAAAAGATCTTTTGTTCTTGTCTTTTGCTCTGATTGCAAACTATGACAGAATGTTTGGTCTGTTGGATGTTTGGATGTAACCAGTGGCATGGACAGAATTTATTTAAGGGAATAAATGTGTGCTTCTGCCATTTAAGACCTGATCAGGAGAATGGACGCTGATAATGCCCGAGTTGAAGGTGAGAGAAATTATCAGTGTTGATTCTCTGAAGCCTGCAGTGATCTGCATGTGGGGTTCCTTCAGGGCATTACTGCTTTGCCAAAATGTTATGTTGCTTCACCACCCTGCTTAATCTTCACAGCCCTGCTGTCTTTTCCATTGGATTTTTCCCCATTTTCCACTGTCTTCACAGATAACCTGAATAAAAGGAAGTTTAACACACGCTGTGGAATGAACAGAGTAGTTTGCCAGCATTAAACTTCAGCAGTATTGCAGTAAGATTTATAATCAAGCAAAGCTGACATAATGTGTAATAGGAAATTCTAGAGTGGTTCCGATCTCCCTGGTAATATCTTTTGAATTCCATTGTGTCGAGAATCATTGTACAGTGGAACGCCGCTATAACGAACATGATGGGGTCCACGCTATATGTTTGGTACTTCTTTCGATGTAGCGAAATCAACTGCCGAATGTTTCGTTGCTACGTTGAATAGTGCCCTCTCTTGTCTAACTGAAGTACATTCTCTTGTGATTCTATGATTCGCTGTTTTCGTGATGTTTTGCCATTGCATTTGAGGTTTCTAGAAATGTATCTTTTCATTATTTTTATTTTTTATTAAATCTTGAGTTACAAAATTGATATTTAGTTTATCCTAAAAGTCAAGAAGCTACCGCTCAGGATCGATCTCTGATGCATGCTGTGGTGAATCTCGGTTGATTTGCAACTGTATAATGTTTGGTAGGTTTTGTGCACAAAATATTGGGAGCTTACCAAGGACGATGTTCAGTACAGCCAAATGTTTGGTATAGCGGTGTACGGTATAGTGACGTTCCACTGTACATGTACCTAAATTACAATGTCTCTGTAACACTAAAGGGTGTCTTTTTTTTCTCATCAAAAAACTCATCAAAAATCCCCCCATCAACTTTTGATGACCAAAATTCCCTCCCCTTAGAAGTCTTCCCTTCATTTCAAGTTGTAAACACCAGGAATTTCATTCAAAGTGTTGGAAGAAAATGGCCCAGAATTGCTTCAGATTGTACCACACAGCATCTAGAATCCAACATTTCCTGGAGCCCTTGGGTAGGCCCAGGACCACACGCCATAAGGGCTGCATGCTCTTCACTTTCATTGTGTCTTCCACCCTGCTAGAAGTTAAGGCAATCAGCTGGTCTTGAATTAACGTTTAAGATAGGCCAAGCACACCTTTATTCCATTTCATAAATATGGTACATGTACCTGTACATTTTGAGTCACAAAGTAAACAAAAGTTCAAACACCCCCATCTGCCCTGCTATGGTTCGTTCCTCTTATGAGAAGTCGCATACAATCTCCTTATTTGGAGATTGGCATATGTGATGTGTGTATGTCATGAGGTGGTACACAGCCAGTCATGTGAGTGGACCCTGACCAGTAGGAATGGCTGAAATGTCTTAGATTATTCATTAATTTCAGTAAGCATGAGAGAAGTGGTGTCCAAAAGTTAGGCTACAACTTGTTGGTTCCAGGTACCGGTACTAGCCTCTGGCTTCCATTGATGTTTGTATTATTCCTAGCCCCAATAATAGCCTCATGTATGTACAGTGAAATAATCATTAGGTGGTATGCAAACATGCCCAGTTTGCCTTGGGACATTTTGGAAAGACGTGACTCCCAAAGAAGGTTGGTATTTCTTTTGAAATGGTGATATGAAACAGGTGAAGGCCACAGCAAAAATAGTTCTTAGCTGCAGTGAACAATGAAATGTTCATGTGACCTTTGCTGTTAACTTTGCTGATGTACAATGTAGAAATGTCATTCTGAGCTTGATTGTACAGCTAAGCTATTGAAAAGCCTAGTTTAGGGAAGTCCCAAGCAAGTCCCATGTAAGTCATGCACCTGTAGGTGTGTGCAAGCTCTGGCGGTAAACAACAGTCTGCAACCTCTGAAACCTTTTGACAACTTCATTGAGCTCATTCTCTAGCTTCCATTGTAAGAATGAAGTCATGCTCCCACAGTCCGATTTCAACCCATTGTTTTTTACTATCCTGACTTTGCTTTATCAGTGGTCTGATTTGGTTTGCCCTGATTTGGTTATCCCAAGTATGCTTTAAAATCTCCATTCCACCCCAGCACACCTGTCTGCACTACTGTAATGCTCAAGTGAGCTTTTCAGTAGTCAGGCCTTGTGAATGCCAGGTCTTACATCTGCATGTGAGTAGCATGTACATGTACATACATGTGATTCAGAATACTGGAGTTCCATGAAGGGCAACCTTTCTTGTGCTATTGTGTGAAATTATGGTTTCATAACAGTGTGCAAGGAAGCATGAAATTATGTGGATAGGCTCATAATTGTTGCACTTATTGCAGTATTAGGATTTTTAACTGTTTTTAGTTAAAAACAGTTTTAAACTGTTTTAAACTGAAACGTAAACGAATGCTGTATACCTGAACTGTTAGCGACAACATAGCTACAACTTAGGTGTACTGGTAGTTTAGCTCCCAGGATATGAATGTACATACATGTTCAGTACTTGTGAACGTGTAGTTTTTCCAGCCAGTCAAATCTACCCAACCAGTAATAATGGGTTGTGCCAGCAGTCACGAGTCAACGGACATCACATTAACCGTTTATTTTCTCTCGGTGTTTACAGAAATACAACAAAACTAAAAAAAGGTCAGGTCAGGTTTTTATTCCCCAGTGTTATTATTTATTCAAATAAAATCAGCAAATGGTTACAAAAAACATAACTAAATAAACAGAACTGAAATAAATCATAAAAACTGTTGGTTTTATTGGGAATATTCCCCAAAGGCTAACTTATCTCAATGAGGGTCTTTTATAAGGACTCTAAAATTTCATTTAGGGTTACTGTTATGTTAAATAAAGGGTTAGCTGTAGCAAAGGATTTCTCTTTTGTGTGTTTGAGTCTGAAGATGAAGCAGCTTATATGGTGTCTAGAGGCAGTGAAGAGGATGCTAACTTGGGATCCTACCAAGGGTACCATCGCAGAACATGATTAGTGAGGTTGTCAGTCTGAAGGACGGGAGAGTGGGGGAAGTCTCCTATACCAAGGGTATAGGAGACTTATTGGACTGGGATGTGATGATCGGGCGCCAGATGTTGCTGACGTTGAAACTGATGTCTTGGGGTGCTGTGTTGTGCCAATATTCAGTGTTGGTGATGAGTTCGGCTTGGATCCAGTTGATCTGGTAGCCTTCTTCATGGGAGCATCCCATGTTCTGCTTCAGTGCCCTTGGTAGGATCCCGAGTTAGCCTCCTCTCCACATCCTTCACCGCCTGTATACACCTGCTTCATCATTGGAACCTCTACAGTCTCCTGATGACAGAGCATAATCTCCGAAATGATTTCCATGAAAGCCTTCAAAAGCTCATCTTCACTGTGTGCAAGTTTGAATCTGCATACACATCAGCTTTAACTCTGGAAGTAAAGTGATGTGTCCTGCCTGTATATGCCCAAATGATGGATTTAATTATAAAAGCTCCCTCAACTAAATGCTAGTTGAACTGGGTAGGTCTATTGCCTGGCCTGTTTATCTGACTATTCACAAGCCAGGCTTTTTTGAGCAGTACTGTTTTTCTGATTCACACCGAGGCAGGTGGTGGTGCTCATAAGATTTCAGACCTGAAGGCCATGACCTACAATGGATCTTTCGACAACTTGTCTGTAATAATGTTGAAATTCTGCCCCCCGGGAAAAATAAAATTAAAAATCTTGCTTGACCTCTGAACCTAATTATGAACTTGTCTGCATGCTGCCATAAAGCCTTTTCAAAAGGGCCCTGAAACATGAGTAAAAGAAAAGCTGCACTTTATCTACACAAGTAAATTGTACATGTAAGTGCATGTACCCAAGATCATCCACAATACCCCGTGATATAATATGGATAATTCCTATATATGAATGTGTATAGGTCAGTTTCATATTGCCTACTTGTATGGGGGCCAAAGTTTGTGGAAATACCACCTTTGGTTAGTTTTTGGATTTTACCTCAAATTCGTTCAAAATGAACGTTTGTCCCATCGTATTTTTATCTCCTTGCAGTTTTTAGCAGTCAGTGTATTAATTTGGTGGTCTGATAGCTGCCTGGGATTTTAACACTTTGTGACTTATTCTTTTATTTTTGCTCTGACAGCCAATCATAGTTTTAGCAGCCACTTGTTGGAAAAGACACGACTGTGACGTCAAAAGAGCAATCCCTAATCTTAGATTTCAGCCATAGTTTTTGTCCATGTTCCTCCCTGCCAGACTTACATGGATTATTTCACCAGGGCCCTGCAGTATGAATACAAAGCCAAGGGAATCTTCATCCAGAGCCTGATGCCTTCCTATGTGGCCACCAAGATGACTGATTTCAAGGATGGTCCACACCAGTCTAACCTTATGATACCATCAGCTTACCTGTATGCTCGACACGCTGTGTCCACACTTGGTAGATCCACACACACCACTGGATACTGGCCCCACACACTCCTGGTAAGTCAAGGGGGTGGACTCACAGTGCGGTCCGTAAGTGACTTCATCACAAAGGTGGACGCGCCACGATTTGCAGGCTCCCATTGCGCGTTAACTTCCGGTTCCATGGTTCCATGTAAACGACCATCAATGCATGCAACTCTATGTGCAATGCATGTGCAGTGCCGTGTGGTTTAAACTGAAGTGACGTCACACCTACGAATAAGCCTTTTGCAAGTGACATTTGAATAAAATGTGGTACTCTGAGTTCTTTAATTCACGGGAACAAAACAATTTGAATTCTCCTTACTAAAACCACTGTTGCTGTACCTCGTGATTCGGGGCAAGCTTTTGCTTAGTTACATAAGAGACGTCTTGCAACAATACACTGTTCTCAATGGATAAGAAGGGCACAAAGGAACCAGTCTATTCCAGAGATGGTGGTCGCTATGCAAAAGCTTGCCCCGAATCATGAGGTATAGCAACAGCATCTTTAGTCTGGGGAATTAAAATTGTCATGTTTGTGTGCAATCAAATAACTCAGTGTACCAGATTTTATTCAAATTTAACTCAATGGCTTTTTGGGTAAGATATGGAGCCCATGCGGGACTGAGAGGAGGCACAGTTTTCCTGGTAACCGAGACTCCTTTGGTAGGAACTGCATGTCACTGGTTCACAAACCACACTGAAGTGCATACATTGTGATACGCTCGCATCACTGCCACCAAAATGAACACTCCCCACCAACGGGGCTCTCTTCAGCTGATGACGCGTTGTTTCTGCAAAAGGTGGATTCAGGCATGTGAGATTTTAAAAGTAAAAAGGATTGTCCAGCAAACCAGGTTTAGCAGTGCCAGTGATGTGTGCATCCGTAGAGTGCTTCATGTAAAAGGAAGACACATTCAAGACGGACCTCGTTGACATGGGAGACAATTCAGTACCTCTTTGACGCAAAACCAAAAAAAGTTGCAGAAAACATGATTTCACTCTAGTGAGTAAATCCTCACTCAACCCTCAAATAATGTTTTTCCCTTCAGATGTGGTTCTCCAGGCAGCTTCCCGAGCGGATGTGGATGTGGAGTGTCAGCGTCATAAACAGCGCCCTCAGGAGGCAGGCAGTGAATAAGAAGCGCCGACGAGCTTCAAAAGGATTGGCATTGTCATAGCAACAGGCATCGTTACTACGTTATAATCTAATTTGGCAAAGTAATCGTTTGCCTAAGAGAAAAATTGAAGTCGTAAATCACGGACTGAAAGGAAATATCATCTTTTCCTCCTGTGAACAAAGCTGTTCTGGCTCAAGTTGTTTTTCACATTTCCAGAACAGTTTCCCACTGAAATTTGTTCATTTTTTATGGATAGTTTCCCGATATTTTTAAAGATACATGTAACCATGCTCCTTTCAGAATTTTATTAAAAGGGCCAAATTCTTTAAGCGTTTCAATGGATGGTATTTGCTGTTTGACAAAACTGCTGAAGACATTGTACACAAATCATCTTTCATAATGGAGACAAATGTCTTTATGCAGCTAAACTAAACTTTTCGAGAAAATAATGAAGTTGACAACATTTTAAATTAAAATTCTCAGAGATTAACCCCAAGTGTTGAGTAAGTACACGTCATTAATGCATATATTCTTTAAAATAGGCCATAAAATAACATTTGAGAAATGTTACAGCTCAATCTTTAATTTGGTGCTGATTAAGGATTAAGTCATCTAAAGTTCTTGGTTTTTTTTTTTCATGAAAACTCAAAAATTGGAAAAAGGTTTCAGTGCTCTGTGTGCTGCAGGCATTGTGTTTGTTAAATGAAGATTTGTTACTCTTGGATATTGTTACGAAGTTCGTTTTGTCTCTTTAAGACAATCTCAGGTGGGACATGTTATCCCTTTCATGGATAAACAGTATCTCTTGGAAGGGACACATTCACCTCTTCCTAAAACAAAGAATGTAGTTTACATGTAGTTGAATTATGCCGTACAGAGACCATCGGGTTACTTTGAATAGATTTGATCAAACAGATGCCACCAAGTGATAAGATAAGATGGCTGATTTGGCCAAAAACCCAGAATCTGAAAAAGTGATGATTTTAGCCAAATTTGACTCTTTGAAAACAGTGACGAAATACAGGCCCTTTTTACAGACAAGAAGAGGAATGTGGCGATATACAGCAAAGCACTGTGCATATTCATACATGGTGGATACTCATACAGTACAAAATCATTGTTACTGATATTCAACGTGACGATACACCAATCCGGTGTCAAGAACCAGGAGCTATTACTGCAGTGTCCCTACGCACGTGAACAAAAGAGACGCATGTTGAATGCTTCCCCATCAGCCAATGGGACGCACTGTACACCCGAGTGACGGGACACAGCAATAATGGCGTTTGCGAATCGGTCAGTGGTGCTTCACTGGAAGAATGGAAGGTGTGATGAGGAAACTGAGTGATGTCATACTAAATGAGACTCCTGATCTGTCAGCATAGCACTTGTAGGTGGAAAACGAATCACTCAGGTTTCTAAACATGGTTTATTGCTCAACCCAACAGTTCCTCTTCTGTCACTGTAAACAGTCCCATAGGAAACAGTGTGCAGGCGTGGCATACATAGCGTGGACCTCTGCACAAAAGAAGTCCACATAATGTAGGGTGTGATGGCATTGTGTGGACTCACACACAATTTTTTCCCCCTCTCTGAAAAAAGTTTCAGAGGCATTTTGGGGTCAAGGTTATCCATCGCAAAATGAAGAGGAACAGTCCATGGAATCATCATCAAAAATCCAGCTCGAAGGAGTTATCCTCGTGGGAGAAAAAAGAGCATTTTTTCCCAAGCTACCTCAGCCACAGGAGAACAAAGTAATGTCCACACTTTGTATGTGAAACAAGTGCCTGTGTGTTTGATATTTGTAATGCACAGGATTTGATTACCGTTTGTGTGTGTATGCTTACTGGGCCGAAAGACAGCTTTAATGATGCAGTCATCAAGGAATAGTCCAATTTTTCTTTGTGTGTGACTTTTTTATATTTATATTTTCCAGGATTTATAGTGCAATCTGTGCTTTGTTGCTGAATACACGTATGTGGTTCAGTGGTTTGGTATCTTGAATGTTCTGGTTGATTGTTTTAATATTTGACAAGCCATAGTCTTTATTTTAGTTCGTAAGGCATTGGAATCTGACAGTTTTTCCATGAAGTAGAACTGAAGAAATTCCCAGATTGGAAACTATTAACACAGAGCATTATCACCAGAAATGAATCATAACGAGGTTGGTTGCTCTGAAGCTTTTCCATGAAGTAAAACTGAAGAAATTCCCAGATTGGAAGCTATTAACACGGAGCATTATCACCAGAAATGAATCATAAAGAGGTTGTTTGCTCTGAAGCTGATATGTAATCAGTGAAATCATTATCAATCTTAGAGATACGTGAAATCAGCGATACTGATCAGCCTTGTTAGAATTCCAATGTTAACCAGTGTGTCTTTGTTTCAGATTGAAAATGATCTTACGTAAGGTACAGTACACTTTACAAACTTAGGCTCAATCCATCCGTAATCATTAAGTGGCACTGCTTTTTGTTTAAGTGGTTTTGCCTGATCCTAAATATAATATAAAATGAGCTAATTTAGAATGGAACAAGTGTTATGATACATTTGTGTCGCTTCAGAATCCAGTGCTTTTCAGTGAAGCGTTGTAACTCTGCACTGTCAAATTATTGTAAAGGTTGGTTTTCCCTTTACAGATTTTCGTGATGGCTGAATGCTTATTTCCACCTGGTTGAAGACCCATGGTACAGTGTGTAGTATTGAAAACCTGACATTATGCCAGATACTTTGCATTTTATCACAGTGCCCACAGCCTGCCTCAAGCTATATTGCCAAAGAACACTGAGGAAAACACCAGGAACTTCTGGGGGTGGCTTAGGGTATAAGAACAACTGTTTGAAACTTGTTTTATTTTCATTTATAAGTGATTGATAAAATGCCCTCTTTGTAGAAAGGTTGTAGAGTTTGGAAGGAATGACGCAGGTTTTGCCATTTTTGGTCAGGTAGTGGATATTTGTGCCTGCATCACATGCCCAAGCCACAATTCTGAATCCTGAAATAACCAAGGACAGTGTATTTGACAGTTAAAGCTGCAGCTGGGAATAATGGGCCACCAGTGGCTAGCAGCTGAAGTCACTTTACCAATAGTGTGTATGACTCCAAGCCATAGCCATTAGATTCAGACATGACCTAAGGATTTGGAAGAGTTGGTCTGAACGGGTTGTATGGAAGGCAGTTTAAGATGTAGATATATGTAATAGGGTTAGCAATAATGAATTAAAATCAACTGACGTCACAAATGCCGATGTTGTATGAACTGAAATTACTTTTTGTACCAAAACTACTTATATAGCATCTTGTTTATGCAGGACATGAAGGTGAAATTAAAGAAAATGAGTTAACATAAGCATTATTTTGTTTTTTAGTGTTTGTTTTGGGAGGATATAATGGAGGGGGGTAGGGCTGGGGATACTGGGAGTGCCGTTTTGGGCAGACCAGTGGACATGAGGACACGTGCATGGCGCTGTTCATAGTGAGATGTTACAAGAATCTGAACTATGGATTACTGTGGGGCTGGTTTGGGAGGTAATGCTATCGATGTACCTACATGTAGCAAGATAGGGTAAACTTCACATTTTGTTCTTCCAATCTGTTGATGTTTAGAGAACAGTGTTCAAGATTGTGAGATTGGATAGAGAAGCTAACTTGCTTGAAAGCTGTGAGGGTTTTCTCGTTTGGATTTTTATTACTACAAATGATGGCACATACATTAGACATCAATTCATAGATCACGGATAATGGCTATCACATTCGTCAATTTTCTTAAATGTCTTAAAAAACGTATCACATGAAAATTATCTCAGACAACCCAGTACAATGTATATCACATTCTCTGCAAAGTCACCTTAGTCATATTTTTTCAAAGATTTTATAAGTTTGGACAACTGACTTCTTAAAGATAACTAATTTCATCTAAGATGTCGTAAGGTATGTTTGCTGCTTCTCAATAATGAATGCTTTCAGTAAAACTGCATGTAGTAGCTTAAGCTCTCATCTACTTCACTAAGCTGTAACGCAATCTTCAACTGCAAAATTTGAAGAAATTCAGATGCTTATATGGAGCAACTGAAATTCGCATTTAGATGCTCCCTTAAAAATCACAGCAATGTCTTACATCAGTAAATGACATGAGTCAATTGATATTGTCACTATTCCATATCATTGAATTGAACAACATTTGGTAACAGATTTGAAGCAGTGCTGCATGTCATATTTTGGTATCTCCTGCTAAGACCTGAGCCCTGCGAAATTCTGCTAATATGAAAGTCTTTAAAATACTTCCACAGATTTTCCTCATACAATAATGTCTAACAGCTTACCTGAATAGTTTTCTTCTAAAAGGAATGACTGACATAGGAAACAGTTATTTAAAAAACAAAAATCATAATTTCATTTCAAACCATCTTATAAATTATGAAAATTATTATAAAATGAAGAATAATTCATGAACAGATAATGGACACTTGTAACCTTCATAGCCCGTTGTAGGAATCTGAATCAAATTATTCATCAACCTGACAAATTTGATTGGACTTGCAACCTACTTAGAATGAGCTAAATTAGGGCTACATCCTACAGCTGTGCTGGTGGCTTGCTTTACACTCTGTCTATGGGATGTGGTTGAAGTGGCTAGCCAGGATTCAGCATAGATTCAAGACTTTTTGGACATGTCGTTGGAATACCTAGTTTGCCTTCTTCTGTTCTAGCCTCTTGAGGGCGGTCTTTCGGATGCCCAGATGCATTGACATCTGTATCTTGTCTAACAGCCATGTTGGGACAGCTTCAACAAACCAACCCTACAATGGAAAAAGGAAGAAAAAACTCAGATCAGGAAGTCTCTGGAATGCTCCAGCTGTTGCCGGGTGCGTCCTTCTTCTTGTCCATGGAAACAAGGAGCATTCTGAGCATGTTTCCAGCTTCAGTGGGCTGTTGCCATAATGTATGTATATGCATGAGCCAGCATTCAACTCCTGGGCCAATTTCCGAGAGCTTCAATTAGAAAGTATTACTGGGAAATATCCAAGTGCTAATCACAAGAAAAAGAAAAGGCAGCTAACATAATTATATACAGGGTGTCTTAAAAAACGGAAACCAAGATGAAGTTGTTTCTTGAATGTGACTAATTATTTTGTAAATGGTAACATATATACATTATGATGTCCTCTTTCGTATGACACCAAGAAATCCAAATTTCCATCACACATGACAAAGCACAAAGTGGTTTAATGGACCGTTTCAGAATGGTTTCAAACCAGGTGCATCAATGGTTTCCACAGTGTGAAACATTTCTGAAGAAAAAAGCAAAAGGCATTAAGTACACTACCAAAATAACAAAAAAAATTGGCCACATTCAAGAAACAAATTTATCCGAGTTTCCTATTTTTTAACGACACCCTGTATAATATTGTGGCTAGAAACTATCAACACTTTGCATCTATTTCCTGGGCTTAACAAATATCTGTGCCTGGTCCTACTGTTCTTTAAGGCTCACCTGCAGAGAATGAGACAGACAACCATTGGTCCTGTCCTCCAAACCTAAGGTAGCTAGGGCACTACGGACAAACCCTGTGGGTGTGGGTACAGTCATGGAGGAACGTCGGATCTTACTCAGCTTGGTGGTCACATAGAATGGGAGAACAGACTAATGGAGGAAGGAACAACAAAAACAGAACCCATGGAGCACAAGTACATGTAGCTTTAAACACAGAATCAAAGAGAGTGTCTGGTGTGTCTGAAACACCCTGTGACCAATGCAATGTGCAAAAAGGCCACACAGATGTCCTGTTTTTCCATTTTAAGGGTCTCTTTAATGGAACAGTTTTTAATAAACCTCCAAAATGCATCTTTGTGTCTTCTTATTTCACTATTTTAAAGGGTACATGTATTTGCTGCCTTTTTGGTTTAGAATGCTAATGATTTGCACTTTCCCGTATTTTTCATGTTGGAGCCCATGGAGGTGCTATCTTTGACCTACCTGAAAGATGATCCCTCTGGAGCCATACTCGGTCTGCAGGGATCGGGTCAAGAAATCCACATATGCCTGCAATAAACAATTCAAAATTTTCAATGTATAAACTTTGTACCGCTGTATGTTAAATTTATGCAAATGAGTTACTTATCCAATAAGTCCAATCAATCACATACCTTGCTTGAAGAGTACACAGATAGTAAAGGACTAGGGTTCATGCCTGATGCTGACGACAAGTTGATCACAATACCCTTCTTCCTATAAACAAATCAATCAAATTTGCATTTGTATTACAGTATTGTAATCTGCTTTCAAGGGTGTAATTCAACTGTAATGAAAAATCATTTGCTCAGCCTGAAAACACTTGGCTAAGCGAAAGTGGGTTACCAGTCAAACTTTGCACTTTGCTTGGGATGACTGGTTCTCGGCAAATCATTGCTCTGCATGTAAATGTTCTCAGCAATATTTTGAATACCTGAAACTTGTTCCTGCATTGGAACTTTTTTTGTGGAAGGGGTGCAAACTATGCAGAGGGGCACTTCCGTTAGAAAGATGAAACCTTTAGGGCACAGGGTTATGTTCCTGCAGCTGACCACATAAAACATGGTGTAACTTCGCACAGTGCATAAGCCTTACGTCACAAATTTGTGACATAGCTGTGCAATGTACTTACAGCTGATTTCATGAAAAAGTGCGTAACTTGAGACTGTTTTCAATATCACTACACTTCTTGGGTGAGGACAAGCATGACTTTTATGACAAATGTTCTTTTTCAATATTACAACAGTAATTAAACAGCCTTTGAAATAGCTCCATCCACCATTTTGAAAATGTTTCTGTTTTTCTTCATCGGAACTGGGCAAAAAATTTAGAGATCATGAAAAACAAGTTTTAATAGGTACTGAAACACAAGGTTTTCCCTACCTCTTCAAAAAAGTACTAGAATTCCTGTAAAAACCTCGTTAAGTTGAATAAGGGGCCTTAACCAACATGATCAGTTAATCAACTCATTCATTCAGCACAACCCTTGCTAACTAAATTGATTGCATAAGTTAGGCCATAATTTGTTGCACAAGTCCTGGACTTAACACAGTGCACAACTTTCATGGAAAATGTCATGTGTATGAAAATGCAGCATATGTGAAGTTACGCCATGGTGTAAAGTTTTATGAAACTGGCTGCTGCAGTGCCTGAACAGGAAGTCCTCAGCAAATTAATATACAGAATGTTATGAAACAGTTAACTGTGAATCATCACAAGTCATCTCCACCGCACTTTTGCCTGGTAGCCTGTAACCAGTTAAGCAAATATTTTCCACACTAAGTTTCCACTTTGCTGTTTCATCAGATTTGGTCCAATGGCAGCGTAGGGTCTCTCTCTGTAGTACCCACATGAGACAAAAGTTAGTACTGTAATTCTAGTGATGAGTCTTGGGGAGTTAGGTTGGTGTAGTGCTTCTTTCCTCGCCTGCGGTCTGGGTTCGAATCCAGGCCTGGTCGACATGTAGATTGGATTTTCAGTCCCAACATTGTACCTAATTCCGCGGGATTTTTCCCAGATTATTCCTCTGGGGTTTTCCTCCCACCTCTACAACTGTAACTGCTTCTCATTGTCTCCTCTCAACAGGTTTCTTCAGGCTTGCGAGCTACAGTGCCTAGGGCGCTTTTGAGGAATCCTTAGTTTCAGTACCAGAAATTAATAATAGTAACAATAACATCGAGACTGACTAGTTAACAACTGGATGTATTCTTTTGGGGAGTTTTATTCCACAAGAAGTTTGGATTACCTTTCTAGCATTCCTGGGAGAACAATGGAAATCATCTGGAAGTATAGACAGAGAAACGTTATGAAGTCATTTAGTCCTTCTTCATGATACTTTAAAATACAAATGTACAAACTGTGGCAATAAGCCATTTGCAAGTTAAGTTTGAATAAAATCTGGTACACTGTGTTATCTGATTGCATAGAAACTTTACCATTTGAATTCCCCAGACTAAAGACACTGTTGCTATACCTCGTGATTCAGGGCAAGCTTTTGCTTAGCGACCACCATCTCTGAAATGACTGGTTCCTTTGTGCCATTCTTATCCATTGAGAACAGTGTATTGTTGCAAGGGGTCTCTTATGTAACTAAGCAAAAGCTTGCCCTGAATCACGAGGTACAGCAACAGTGGTTTTAGTATGGAGAATTCAAGTTGTTCTGTTCACGTGAATTTAAAGAACTCTGCGTACCAGATTTTATTCAAATTTAACTCGCAAAAGGCTTATTGCTGAAGTGCAGTGGAACAGCTTTATTAATAAAGTATTCAGGAAGCGGATTGTTCAGGTTTCCTTGTCAAGACAGTCAAGTAGCATGTGGCAAGTCACTGCTTACAGCAAGTCAACCACTTAGCAAGGTCGCGTCAACAATCATTCCAAAATAGGGCAATACAAAACAATGAGAGTTCGTGTCTTACCATTGTCACCGACAGGCAGTTCAAGTTCAACATATCTGCCAGGAACTGAGTGCAAGAAACAATTGAAAAGTCATCTTAGAATCTATCGAATAATAGAACAGAACCAATCTCACCACTGCTGTGAACATCAATAAAAAGTATCAAATCAGGAAAAAACCCTGTGCATGAGTGCGTGATAGGAGTTGACGCTGCAATGGCCTACAATCTTTGTCTCAGTTCAATCATAGAGGACACAATGTGGCATGGAATAAAAGACACACCTTTTGTTGATCGGGGAGTTCATGGAAGTACTGAGGGAAGGGGTATGATACCCCTACATTATTGACCAGCACACCAACGTTTAAACCCAAGATCTCCTTGGCAATTTTGGAGTAGATTTCTGCACCGCCGCTGAAGTCTACAGCCACAGCCTTGGTTTTCACTTTGTACCTGGATTCTTTGGAGAAAAAAAAAACATACAAATAAATTGAAAAGCTTACTACATGTAAATAAAAACAGCTGGATTCGAACCCCAAACCCTCAGTTCTGAACCCTACCAACTGTGCTTTATCCCCTAGAAACACAAAATGAAAAGTACATGTACACGTATACTTCATCAAAAAAGATTGTTAATCAACAAATCCTTATTAAATTCATTGGGATTCATCAACCTGACAAAGAGCTGAGCAAACGTAAGCAACTTCAAACACTTTCTGTGCTAGAAGATTCCTTTATTCTTTCAAAGTATAATGTTGTGCACTAACCCTAACCCCTAGGCCTTTTTGCTTGGCACCCTCCTTAACTTTTCAAAACCCTCCAATTACCCATGCCAAAAATGCATTCAGCCAATCCTCCAAAATGCTCCAATATTTCTTGAATATTTTTTTTTTCCCCTCTAGGGAATTTATTCGGTATAAATAAGTTTTCCTCAAAAGCTAACACCATGTCTACACAGTAAAAATATACGCGTCAATCCATCAATAGAAGTGAGAAGGGGTCCCACTTATCGTTAAATTTTACAATGTTTCCATTTACAGTGAATATAAGCCTCTCACAGACATAATATTGTTTTAAATCATTCTTTAACAAAGTAAACGACGGTTTACTCCCACTCATTCCCATCTTATAGATATGGTAACGACAGAGCAGGAGGATTAAATTAAGTGCACCCCACGTTTTCTTGAGCACACCAAAAACGACCATCTGATTATCTAAAAGTAAAGTCATGTTCAGGGTGTCCCTAATCCAAACTTTGATCTTCTTCCAAAATAGAGAAGTAAAATCACAGTTACAAAACAGATGCATTAAAGTTTCGCTTTCATGTTGACAGAATGAAGAGATCATTGTCTCTGTTCCCGATTTCATGCAAATAGGAATTAGAGGCCAGGATTCTATGCGTCAACCTAAACTGAAACCATCTCAGTTTTGTATCCATTGTAATCTCAAATGGTAGGTTACAAAACACAGACCACTTGTTGTGGGAGATATTAAGTCCCATCTTTGTATCCCATTTACTCTTAAATTTCTGATCAACTTTTTTAACTGACGTGAGGATGTAATACATACGAGTAGAACCCTTCTTATCCATCATAAGAGTTTGGAAATTAAAAGGAATAAAAGGCAAGCAAACAATAGAATCAATCCCTGCAATTGTATCGCCGAAAGATTTCTTGAATATATGCTCCTTTGAGGAATGTCCACTGCCTCAATCCTTCAAAATCCTCCAGTAATTCCTGTCCTTGTGTTGAGGCAGTGCGAATGGTACCCTACAGCAGTATGAAATTATGCATGGCTGAGCATAAACAACACAAGGTCAAACCCACAACCTTGATAGAATGCATCCTTTGCAATCAGCCACACTATTTTACCGTACTTCCTCAATTCTCCAAAATTCTGTCAAACCACCTGGAGGATTTTGTAGGATTGAGGAGGGTTAGGGCTAATCCAATGCCATATAAGACAGATGCATCACGGTCCATACAAAGAAGACTCCATGACATTGTGCGGAACGACTAAAGACAGAGGGACAAACTCACCAACTTCAGCAGCAACATCATTCAGTTTGTCTGGTGATCGACTGAGAAGTACAATGTTCAACCCTTTAGCTGCAAGCTACGTGTAAAAGCAAGTAACAATGTCCAGAATAAGTCTCACTGTTTCCAAGTCTTTGTAGTCTTTGTTAGTTTGGTTCCCAGCACTGTTTCACACAAATGGAGCTGTTCCTGAAAGGTCAGTTTCTTTAAGGAAATGTACCCAGTTTGTACATGTCAATGTTCTCATTTTCCAACAACCTCCTTCATTTAGTGGCTATACTGCCAGAGTGTCACAATCAGAGTTAAAATCAAAATTCTAGTCAACATTTTAAAAGAGGGTGTTTCTAGTGCCTAGAATTGTTAACCACAGTAAAGAAGTTACTGACATTTGATACTTTCACATTGATGCCGTCTAGGGCGCAGACATTTTTAATCCATGTGCTTGAAGAACATTCAAAATGGGACAGAATGAATATCAGCTCATGTACTCTGGATGCAACAAGCATCCAGTACCGATAAAATCTGATTAAAAAAAGGTCACAGCAAAATTATCTTCAGTGCAGTCATGCACGCGTTTGTGTAATTGGCACAAAGCAAAATTAAATGCTCATTAACTGATTGTGCATTTAGGTTTTTTGCGTATTGGCTTTGTTCACGTATCATTTTATAATACAGACACAGAAAAGCAGATAGAAGTACAAAAGCCGTACAAAATTTCAAGTTTTCCATAGGTTTGTGCACAAACATGGATGCACCCAGCAGGCATCATTTTGTGCGTGATTCACTGCTCTAGATTTCATATATAACTCAGTGGAAAGAAGGGATCTTAAATGACAGTTAAACTACAATATAATAAATAAAGAAGTCTGTTAAAATTGAGTGTCATAAACAAACATTTTGTGTGCTTGTGAAAATGGTACATGTACGATTTACGTAACTTTTGTCACTTGGTGGAAACGGCACGCACAGTACACAATTTTGACATCAATAAATTTGTCTCTTCGTTAAGATGGCGAGACAAGTTTTGCCCATGGTTTTGCCATTTATTGCTGACGCTGTACCTGTACCTATGGAAGACAACTCTGACTCTTCCTAAATTAAAAATTGGGTTTAGTTGAACTTTACCCACGGAGAGCATCACAATTTGCCTGATTTTTCAGTAGATTTTGTAAAAAAATGACTGCACCAAGTTGTAACCATCACATAGCCTAGTTCATTTTGCACAAAACAGAGAAATTTTAAAACATTATGATTTTGGGCCACTTTGTCTATTTGTGACAACAGTGACAAACTGTACCTGTTCAACGTATGCTTTTCCAATACCATCCGTCGCCCCAGTCACAGCTGAAAAACAAAACAAACAAAACTAGAATTGTCTTCTTGTATGTTTTATTATTCCGTGTTCTTACATGTAAGTATGGCTCCTGTCATCATCAACCCTAAAGAGCAAAGTTAAGCTTCAAAGGAAGGACGGTACTACAGAATCACTATCAGATTCCCTTGGGATTGGAGGCGCTTCTGTCCATATTCTCTCTTATTAGCCAACTGGCTATCAGGATGACAAGCATTAACCATGTCATTGTCACCCAATCTACCGCCAATCACACCCAGTTCATCTTTGGCATACTGAGAAGCCAGTCATGCCAGCAGCAGTACTAGAATTGTAGAAGGTCCTTTAGCAGACGGTATACATGTATGTATTTTTGTCAAGTCTTTGCAGCAACAGGGAGAATGTTGCATCATACATTCACAGTTTTCAACTTGTATAACATCAATCCAGTTCGTAAGTGTGACATTACTTCAGTTAAAGCCAGGTAAAGCACATAGTTACGTGGAACCACGGAACTGGAAGTTAATGTGCAACTTTAGTGTTCGTCCAACGGGAGCATGAAATAAGAGGTGCCTTCTGCGTGTATGACCAAGTCACTTACGAACTGGATAAAGGTCGGTCATTTAAGAAATGCTGAAAATACATGAATCTGGGACTGAGAAAAATTTCCAATTTTGTAAGGAAATATTTTGAAACTTTTTTGACCCCCCACAGACTTTACAAAACTGAAGTGGAATCATGATGCATGTGGTTTGGTCCCGAACCTGATATATACATGTACTTGTAGGTGTTCATTACCTTTAGCACCCTGTTCCTATAATAAAGGAGACAAAACAAAGTTGACCTTTTCAAAACAACTTACCCAGATAAGTTGGTGGTGATTTCCTTTTTCATTTTAGAAAGAAAAGTGGTCAGGGATTTGGTTTTTAGAGAAATTATACGGTAAAACGGTAGCGTAAATGACGTGACGAAGAGCTGTGAACAAAGACGAATTAGCAAGTGTAGTCTGGTTCCTTGACCTGGATGAGGATTTTATGAAAATTAGTATATCCACAATGGCAGGGTCAGGTAAACCAGATGTGAAAGAAAATGGCGTGACATGGTCATCTTTCACCAAACTACGGTCAGAAAATTCTGGTTGTCTTGCTTAAATATTGTCAAAATTTACCTAAACTAGAGCTAGGGAGGAAGAAAAGAATTCCACATGTATACGAACGCCACTTGACACCCCATGCACAAACCCTAGTGTGAGACAGGTTTGAAAAATTCAGTGTTTTCTGAGTAAATGAGTCAGATTTTTCCTCCTAAATTGAACTTTTCTGGACTTGTTTTGCTTTCTGAAGGCTAGCCTAAAACGTAATACTAATAGGTTACAGTAGGGAATAATTACTGGCGTCTGTATAATCATGTATAGGCCTATTGTAACTCTTCCCCTATGGAATACATGTAGATCCTCATGCGTCATGGTCTTGAAGTTAATAATGCACTAGGCCTAGTTTAAAAAAGTGGACTTTGTTTCCTTTATTATAGAAACAGGGTGCTAAAGGTAATGAACACCAACGTATATCCCCCGAACAGTCGGGTCCGATGTCCACCCCTCTCCCACGAACGGGGCGGACGTCAGACCCCACACAGTTCTGGGAGTACTAATAATATGTACACGTACCTACACCCTCTTTGTCTATCAAGTTAAAGTACAGGTTAAGTTGAAGCAAAACCTGTCGTGAATGTTCTCTACTAAAACGATCTGGCAGCTATGACGTTCTGAATATTCGAGAATTGCGGCCTACTCTTTAGTAGTAGTACTAAACAAACAGACAAACCTGCCCATTCTCCGTATTTTTGCACATTTGTAGAAAGGCCCAGAGGCCCGGCCAGAAAGAATGACTTCAGCGCCTTCACCAAGGAGGAAACCAGACGAAAAGTGGCACAGAATGCAACGACGGCACCAAGCGTCGCCAGAGCTGGATTAAGAGCTCCAAACGGAGTTAACTCCGGCATGATTTCAGCTCTTTTCGCTTCTTGCTCCACCCACTTTAACTTCTCAACTTACAAATGTAGGATCTTTCTTGGTTAAAAATCACGCGATGTCTGCATCTGGGCCATGGGGGCAGGCACGCTTTTCAGAATCTTTCTTTATAAGCTTTGGAATCCATGCTCTAAAAGGTGGGGGTCAGAGATTAAAGTTCCATGGTCTCATTCCTTTGCGTTTTGGGTGAGTTTTGTGTATACCTGTACATTTGCTGCATGTTTATAACATAGAGTCAGATATATATATCTAACTCTATGGTTTAAAATGATCAGAATATTACGGCTTAACCAATTGCAGAGCCCCTCGACAGAAACCATGTTTTCTTTTGGGTAATCCAGCGGGAGCTGGTTATATACTGTTTACTTGTCTTTCGTATGTCTTGTGTATTCTCTTTCTCTTGAAAACTTTGTTTTTGTATTGCGTGAAATGTTGATCCCGAAAAATGAAATAATGAAATGAAAGGAAATGATATAAACCTAAACCAGTTACGATATCCCTGTAACGTATGGATTAAAAAAAGTTAGTGTATCTCGGTGATAAATTTTGGACACGTGGTGGCGCCCTGCATCCACACCGTGCTCATTTGGCCGTACTGCTTTGTGTTGAACATGGCGAACATTAGCCATGTAACAAACGCGCATGAAGATATCGTGTCTTCGAGCTAGCAGTAAGATGATTTTTATCCTACGCAAGTTTAGCCTATCTCACTTAACTGTTTTGTAAATGTAAGTCTCAGAGTTTCTTATTAAAAGCTGATGCATGCAGCACTTGAAAAAAACCCAAAAAAACAAAACAAACGAACAAAAAAACAACAACAAAAAAACCCCCGGATTGATCAGTCTTGGTGTTGTCTGTTGTCTGTCGAAGTATTTATTAATTGATTTTCTAACAATTTTCCGCTTGTACTTGGCCTGCGGTGCATGCAGAAATGAATAAAATGAATTTTAATTGATTGAACCGGCCCTGCCATGTGGCGTGCATGACCTTGATAAACATAAAGAGCAACCGTTCCTTGTTGTTCAACAGGTGTTCCGGCCACTAATACTCTAATTGCTGTTACTGCATTGTACCCTTTATTTTATTTGTCGTACAATTTTTGTGTAGCTTTTGTAATTCCTTCATGACAATGAAAGAAAACCCTTCGCATTAATGACTAGGATCATCTATTTGAATTAAAGATAAAAATTCGAATAGCTGCAGGGATAATTGAGACATGAATTTTATAGGGAAAAGTGGACGATGATGTGACATTCACATCACCGGGGCGTAACCCCACTCTACTCTTTGACCGGGGATGGGCCACTTTCTCACTTTCTCCAAATATTCCAACAACCAAAATGTATCCAATAGTGCTAAAAAAAAGAAAAGAACAAAAGATTTAAATGAAGTAATTTTGATGTGGTTTTGGGTTTGTACGTGTAAGTATGCATGAGATTTACATATGCACCTATAATAAACAGCGCGCCCTATGGTGCCATGTTGTGTCCAGAAACCCCCCTCTTCCGCTTTTTGAATTTCTGCGGCTGGGACCTTTTTTTTTAATTGAAGTTATTCCTCACCCCCAGCCCTCGGCACAGATTTACGCCACTTGATTTTCAGGACTGTCCATTTTTTTAGGAGTGCGTGTCGGGGTAGGGAGGGGTACAGCCATGCCCTGAATTCTTGGGTAGTTCGAAAATCGCAAAGCCGGGGGAGGGGGTAGGGACAACATTTGAGATTGCGCGACTCTGCATTTACGATGAAGACTTTTCAGTTTGCCGACAGAACTGATTTTAATTAAAGACTGGCTTGAGTATCCTAAGTCTCTTTCTAGGACTACATTTTCCTTCTCTCAGCATTTCGTATCTATATTTATGGGACAGTAGAATGGGGAGAAATAATGTTCAATTGTGGTTGGTTACTGATGTGATTTGCTAATGCCGTTTCCTCTTTCTAATCATTTGCGGTAAAATCATTCTTCAATTATTGAAGTACCATCGCGCGTTTATTTTCTTTGGCGCATATGTCATCAGCACTGCTGGCTCGTATTGAGGGTAGGTAGTGCGATCGACGGTCCATACTTTTATAGGGTCCATTTTAATGTGTCAAATCGGATGATTAAATTTCCAGACTTTGATGCGAAATATTCAGCTCTAACAGTTTGTGTATTATAAAATCCACCACTTCCACCAAGCGTTTTGAGAGAAACGGAGTAGCGATTCACTGAGTCAATATTGTTGAAAATACAGTGCGCCATAGGCAAACAAAATGTATTTGAACTCTTATGGTGTGACGAAAACACAGCTACCGCCGTTGAGCCTATCTTGCCATTTTTTGCTTCTTTTGTGTTTGGTTTATTGTTTTGTTTGTGTTTAACCACTTCGTCCTGGGGATTTCCCTTCCGATTACTTTAAATGGCCATGGAAATAAGATTCCACTAAGTCGAAACTTGACATCAATGTCCTTCAAAGTTTCGACTCAACTGAATAATTAATTCTTGAGTATGCTTACGATGTATTTGACAATCGCGCTTGCGAATCAGCACTTTTGTTTTGTATTAAGAAACTTGGCGTTTCACATATCTAGGTTATGATACGGGCCGTCAGCACGGTTGGAAATTTATGTCAACACATGCAGACGACCTCACTTCATTCAAATTCAAGGCATCAAAGGAAGAAATGCATATAGGCCTATAGTGAGGGTATCGGAAATGTCAAACTAGTCTGCTTATCGATGGGCCTGCCTTCGGTTCTTGCCTTGGATCTCTGGGGATGACTTGCGTTTACCTCGCTGCATTCCTCGTCAACCTTGAAAAAAAAAAAGCCCACGAGGCACCACTTCGATTCAAAATTATGCATGTGCTTTTTACTATACGACTCTGTGAGCTGCAAATCAAAGAACAATTTCAGCAATGGTTGGAAAGGCTTAGTTACTGAAAACATAATTTCAATGAACGAACTATTGAAACAGTACTCCCGGAAAGACCATTCAACTCACAACTCTGTATCACTGTATCATAGAACCGGGCATGGAGACGGACACCCTAAAGACAAACGCGTGAAAACCGTCGCTTTCCAAAGAGTGAGTTTCTTATAAATCCAGCCCAAAAGAATGAAAACCAATATAAAAAGAGTTAGAACAACTCCAAACGAGTGACATCACCCAAAAAAATGAGCCATAATGTTTTATTTATTTGTTAATTTTTTTTCCATAAAGGTAGGCCTACTCTTTTCGAGTTTTCTCTTAAATGCCCCAGGGTTGAAAGAGTAGAAATTTCTCTCTTTTCAGAGTACTTTTTATTCTTTCGGATTGATTTTCTAAGGAACTCGCATAAAGAGAGCAAAGCAGATCCTGGGACGCAATCAACTCGACCAACCGACAGACCATAATACACGTATGATACACCATTATTTAGTGGTAAGATGTCCAACGACATTGGCACTTGCCTACGTGCACCTAGTGTCGAACTGAGGGAAGAATTGCACTGTGGACCTTGCAAACTAAGTGAACCATTATGATCTACATGTATGTTCATGTCACACAAAAACTTGAAAAAAAAAACAGCGTAGGGATCGTGGTGGTGATCGAATGACAGAGGGAGTTGGCAACTTTTCTTTAGGGTACTTTTGAGATGACTCCTTTTTGAGGGTTTGATGCCGATACAATATACAGGCATTTTAGATGATTTCGTTAATTATTGAAATCTTCGTCAAATTGCTGGGATTTTTTATTTTGGCCACACACATCAAGTCAAGAACCATTGGGTCGGGAATGTTTGGACGTATGGAGGAATTCCTCGTCGCACTCCGTATGTTGAATATCCTTGATTTGAGGTGATTACTCACGGCATCTTAAAATAGAGATTCTCGTTATCAAAGATAATAATTCGAAGAAACACGATTTTTATTAGTCATCCGTGGCCTTCGATGTGTGTGTCCCCCATCAGCCGGAGTGCCGCTACGTCACATCTTATTAACATAATTAAACAACATGGCGGACAGTGGCAATGCATTCCCGATTACTTCCTGAGTTGGTCTTGCAGTTTTCCTGCCGTGTTTTTCTGGGGTCTTTTCCTCTAGTCGCTCAAAATGACAGAGAGGTTAGTAGACGTATATTTTGTACATTTTCTTTGGCTTTTTTGTCTCTGGCCGTCCACATTTTCCGGGAATAGGCTTATGTATCTGGTGGCCTTGTGTGTCTATGCATGGTCTACATCATTTGCGTACATTGTGCATCACAGCTGCCTGTGCACAATTGTCTGTCGATTCTCCCGTCAGCAGCTCCCTTTTTTTCTGACAGAGAATAGTAGTAGTCGGTAGCGTCCTGTTTGTCCTGTTTAAAACTTGCAGTTTTGATTTTGTTAAGTAATTTTGGACAGTTCTAAAAGATCCCCAGTGCAGTAGTGGACTTTAGGGCTGGTCCTAGGCCTACAATTTCAATTTTTCATTGACTCGTTTTTTCATGTCTTTATTTTCCACATAACTGTTAGTAGGGCTTATGTAATAAAGACATAATAACAGGAAAGGCAATAATTGTGGATGGGGTCCCTTAGAAACAGTGCTTGACGAGTAGGGACCCCAATTAGAAATATTATATTGCAAACAACACATTAATAGTTTAGCCTTAGGCCTACATGTATATTTACATTTGAATGTTTGTAGGTTCCATAGATTCTTTACAGAGACATCTAAAGAATTCCACAGCTTGGGACCCTCATGCTTGACTATATTTGCGACATGCTCGACTGTAATTTGTACACAGGCTGTTTAAATTTCATTCTTTTGAGCTACATGTACATTAAATATAATGGTGATTACAAGTAGGCCTACCTCAGTCTAAGAGACCTTCTCTTAGAAATTCAGTGTTTGTCATCAGCCTGAGTAAAGGCTTACATAGTTTTCAATTTCAATATGTTAAGATAATTAAGCCTCGTCATTAATCAAACTTTATGTTTACCGGTAGTTCTTGCTTATTGTAGTAACATTTAGACATTTTGTACTACATGTAATTAGAATCTTCGAGTTTATTACATGTAATTGTACAATGTATATGTTGAGTACTACCACTGCGCATTGTTAAATTCTGGATGAAATCAGTTGATCCTGCCATCAACCAATCTCTTTTTCTGTCCATTTCACGGCTGTGGACAATCATTAAAAAAAAGGGGGCATTACATGTAAGTCTGAGCCTTTGTCTTGGGTGGAACTATGCCATACATGTACATGTAGCATGTTTGAGTGATCACTCTCAACCAATCATATCCACTACATGTAGGACCTAAATTTGGGCTGTTGCGCTTTCATTCAAAAGTGTAGAAAGTGAATTAAGAAAAAAAAAGTTTAAAGACATCTGTAGCTTTCAACCTGTACAGTGCAGCCTATATGTATGGATTCGTACATGTAACTTAACTCATGGAATATAACTAATTGTTGATTACATTTTTACCTTTACCTTCACAAATTGTACTTGACCAGTCATATTCACTTTTGTTTTGACAAAGACAATCAGCTGGGAAGAGTTTCATACAGGATATCACTAATTTTTCTCTACCGTGATATATCAGCCATCAAAAAGCAATAGACGTGTCCTAAACAGTCCAAGTTAGCTGAGAACATTGAAGCATTAGCACTTACTGTACCCGTTTTTAAAAAAATGCTTAGCATTTTCAGAGTGGTTTGGTAGGGGTTTTGCATAGGGTGTTGAGTGATGTCCATGTATGGAACTCTTTCTCATTGAAGTCTAAGGAACTTCTTCGCTACACTGTGATTTCACCCTCAGCAAATAAAAGTTGGCAAATCTGAAGTGGGATTAGCAGCTTATTGTCTTGCCATGACACAGCGTCAATTTATAAGACACCATTATCTGTGTTCGATAGTGAAGTTTGATAGTAAAGGTTGAGTACAAACAGGAGTATGCACATTGCTTTGTAGAGTTATAACTATATACAGGTACATTTTTGTATGCACAATGTACACGTACTTGTGTTCATTGGCCCAGCCAGGCATTCCATACAAATTAATGAATAGCTTTTGTGAAGTGATTTGACAGTCCAGATCATTGGAGAGTCAGTGTGATAACAACAGTGGTAGAGATGCCATTTACATGCCGTATACTGCTGCTTAGGATTTCTGAACTTCAGCACACACTGCAATATTCACATTCTATCAGAAAAAAACAAAAGTTAACAAGGAAACTCCTTCGGAATTTGAGGAATTCTGTTTGAGTTTCACATGGTGGTACATGTACATATTCATTTCATTTCTGTCTTGTATAAAATTTGAAGTCCCTGAATATTTACATACCAGTGTATTGAACATTTATCAGGGGGGGAATATTTTACCTGCTACATTAAATCTGATAACTTGGCATGCTTTTGATCAATGTCTGTGGCCGCTGGATGTTTGGTTAAATTCTTTTCAGTGATTTTGAGTTTTGTTAGTCAAACTGCTGTTACAGATGTGAAGTCAATTTTCCTGATGGACTGTAATTAAAACTCCCTGAGGCACTACACATTTCACATAAAAAGGCCAAAGGAAGTTATAAATGTACATATAAGCAGATACATGTACATGTTTGTGACAAATGATAAAGTGAAGTTTTGACAAGGGTTGACTGCTACTTTTTCTTCCCACACAAAAATAGTTCTATACTTGACAGGCTATGACGTGGGTGTGGACTTTGTTCACAGTTTTAGGAAAGATCATGAACTTCACTGTATGTCGTTATGTATACATATATAGGGTACTGTGCGAGGCATAGTTGATGTGAAGGACTGCTGTTGTTTTGACATCACACTTTGACATTGCACAGTACAAATTACTGCTGACTACTTAGATGGTTAGCATGAATTCCAGTGATAATATTGAAAGAGTTGGATTAGATTAGAATATCTGGACCTGTACAGTCCAAAATTTCACAGGATTCTGATGTGAGTGGTGTTTTTGCAAATGTGTTACAGTAAGTTCTTTACTTTCCTATCCAACTGTCAGAAGTGTCGTGTACTTTGAACTCAGCTGCAACATTTGGTTGCCCAGTTTGTTTCATACATGTGAAAATATAACTTTTGTCATTTGCAATAAACCCGCAAGTTGTAAAGTTAACCTTTTTGCGTAATATCTTAAAGCATCATGCTGTACTATGCAAATTCAGCAGAAATGGTATATCGTACGGTAGATTCCACCAAAACTTAAACTAGTATTTCACCTTTGCTACTGGTATTCCATGTCCATGCAAAACAGTGACATGAGGTACTGTACATGTACATGTACTCTTTTGTGTGTAAAGTGTACAGGGCAGGATGTGGTTTTCAAATGTTGGCATGTTGGACCCCTAAAAAAACAAAGTTATACGTAATTACATTTACAGATGCACTGTGATCTTTTCCTTGTTTTGTTGGAGTGTTAGGTTAGAGCCATGAGTTCATTGTAGGCCAGTCATCCCTTGTGTTGGTGTGCTGGATGTCTGATCTGAATGTGTCTCTAAAATATGCAGTAAATGCACACTACATGTACAGTGTATGATGAGTATATTTTCTGTATCAGTTGTAATTTCTTTCATAATGCTGTCATGTTTTTGTCTTTTTTTTCTGGCACATTTCTGATTTCAGGGTAGAATGGGTGGAGATCATCGAGCCCAAGACCCAGCGGCCGATGTACGGCAACTTGAGGACAGGGGAACTGGCTTGGGAACCCCCCTCAAATGCCAAAGTGTAAGTTTGTGTCTTTGTTAGTTTTTAAGTACTAATGGAGCTTTCTTTTCAGACCTGTCTTCATCAAGTTAGTGTTGTGGTTGTTACCTTTACCTATACATGTACATGTTATTTTTTTTACACAGAACAGCTAATTGGATGTATGCATCTTCATCAGTAAAGTTCATATTTTCATACCAAGATGTGAAAATACCCTCATTATATGTAACTATCACATAAATAGGACTGAATGCCTAAAAGATCAGAGGGAAACAACTGCCACATACAGACCTACACTGAATCCTACGTAGTTGTGTGACGTTAACAAGAAGGTTTTTTCAATACGGAATACGATTCTGTTAATACCAGATTTACATGCTTGGCAGAAGGTTTCCGAGGACCAGACATTAGCAATGCACATGCCTTCTATATCACTAGTAGATTTGGTTGGTATTGGTGACCTACTTTTACTAAGCAAACTTCGTAACCTCTGTTGTCTCTTTTTCTGTAATGAAAGTTACATGCACTTGTAATGAATCTATCTTTTGTAGGTTACCAGACTACTAGGGATTGTTGCTGCACTGTCTGGTTGAAATTATCCATTTTATGTACAGTACACGCAGGGGAGCAGGGCTGTAACATTAATGTCCTCCAACAGGTGAAGGATTGAGGAGGGTTAGGGTTAACCCTAACCCTCCTCAATCCTTCACCTGTTGGAGGACTGAGGAGTGTTAGGGTTAATTAAACACACAGTGTGATACTGAAGGCAGTGGTAAGCTGGAAAATGTTGCTGTGGAGCAACATGTAGTGACATGTGTCAAAAGACTTTATTCTCATCGGTGGTTTGTGTTTAAGTTGGTCAGTGTAGATATCGGTACATTGTACATGTAGATGCATATATACATGACATGTACATGTACTTTGTACATGTACAGGTACCGGTATGTTGGTGAAACCACTTTCTGCCGTAGCTTAGAGGAGATGAATGGCATACATGTATGTATGTTAAGAACTGACCAAATGTTCAGCTTTTGTTGAAGCAGTTTTGGGAAACTTGTCGTAAGGCCTGCTGTTAGTAACACTAACAGTTCAGTTGAGTATTTCACAGTTACATGTATAGGTACCATACACATATTTTATGAGATGTACATGTACAGTACTTGTTGCATTGTTGAAATACCTTCTTGCACTAGTGATCACTGTTGGTTATTGGTATGTTACTCTGCAGGTTATTGGAATACACACTGCAGCACATGTACAGAGTATTATGTACATGTACATGTACAATGTACATAGTGTGCTGTATGTACAAGTTGCATGAACTTACCATGTTCATTATATAGTGCATGTATACAAATACCTGTGTACACTCATTCTTTGAAAAAATGAAAACAAGAATTATAAAAAGGAAAGAAAGAAAAGAGAGAGTGTGTTCAGTCTTGGAAGAAATAAAAATTGTAGATTTGTTGCGAAGTTTGTACGAATGAAAAAAAACATCTGTCAGTTTTGGCGCACACGTACATGGATAGATGTTTATCAAAAAGGAAATTTCACTGAACTTAAACTGAAAGTTCCGTCTCTTGACATTTCTAGACCAAGTAATAAACCCACTAACCTCTGATGGTACCCTATGGTAAAGTGTGATTGATGGAAAATGCCTAGGTCACAGGAAAAGTGGCCTAATTAACTGTGGCTGGCCAGAACAGAGTGGTTTCCATGCGCTTTGCATGCTTTAATTCCACCGCTCAACCACGATTATATGAAGATTGAGACGTTAACCGAGGGATACCCTGAATTCCCCAAATGTTCCAATTATCTTGAGTGTTGCAAATCAAACTCACACACCAAGTGTTACATGTATACCATGTACATGTAGAAGAGCCCTGAGTGTTAGTCGTCCATTGGTGTCCTTGTTTGTACAGGTATATTGTATGTGCAAACAGCTCGCAAAGAATTACCAAATATCAGAATTGTCCTTTAAAATCGGAATATTCAATGGAACTTACAAGCCAAAATTTGTTAAAACCCAATTTAATTCGTTTATTTGTTTTCAGGACATACTTAAATTAAATTTGTGAGCAATAATGTCACCTAGCCACGTCTTTCTCATCTCCTTCCTACTCCGCCCTTTTTTAGTTACGGGGATTGTCACACCAACCCTGCTACCTGTATTTATACCACTACTTTTATACAATTTTGTATTTCATTTTGAGTTTGCCCTTTTGTCTGCACTGTATTGCAAGTTTACAGACTTGGAACTTTGTCCCAATTCGTCAAACAGAAGCTATACATGTATGTAGTCTACCTTGGTTAACCATGGAATTTGAAAAGAATAATGTGAAGAATGCCACCAACAACCTGTCCTACTCAACTTCATCAATAACGGCACATGAATGTACAGTGTACAGGTACATGCACAGTGCTTGTACAGTACACATGTACAAGGGTAAGAGGATTTGTAGAGTTGGACATCCTTTGCAGGCTAGCTGATGTGACCTTGATGTGGCAGAAACAAAGATGATGTCCAAGCACCTTTTTTTGGTCAATTTCACCCTCTGTATTGTACAATTAATGTCACTGAAAATGACCTGTAAGTAGATCAAGATATAAAATGAGCAGCATTTGTGTACCACTGCTACACCGTGCACAAATTCACTGAACATAAAGTGTGTCAATGAATGTACATGTACATTTTCTTCAGCCATCAAGTTCACCTGCCCCACATGGCCGACCTTCCCAGATCACAAACCCTACATGTATGTACTCTGTACAATGTACCCAGTATATGTCGATATAGATCAACTTTACATTGGAACAAAAACAACTTTGCATTGAAACATGATCATGGAGTTTTCACAAGTTACACATTGTTGCTGCATTCATGTACTTGCACATGTACAAGGTGACAGTGATAGACAGTACACTGTACATAGCAGTGTTTGGTGAGGACATAACCTTGGATTGGGTGTCAAAAGTTCACATTTCTGAGATTCACCGTTTGTTGAGTCAGAGATCTTTAGACCTGCAGTGGAGTGGTGCATGAAACAAACCAGGAAAGGAAAACTATTCAAAAACAATGTTTGAAGCTACAGGTGGGCCTATTCATAGCCAAAACTACTCCCGTGATAACTCTGCCACCAGTAAATTTATACGTATACAACAGAATAGAACAGTAGGGACAAGCTGGTTTTTATGACAAACATTTGGTATGAAGCAGTCAACACAAATGTCCATGGATAGTCATTTGCAAAAGTTTAAGACCATCTGGAATTTGATTGGTGCCAGTATTTCTGTTGCTGGGCCTGCATTACATTGTCTCATTGAATGATTACTTAACATGTTTTTACAGTGTGGTGCATAACATCAATGTAGGGCTGTATACCCGTTTGAATGAAATGTTTTGCAAAGGCAGGTCTTGTATGACATTTTGTCTGTAAGGCATCATGGGTAAAACGAGCCAGTCTAAGTAATTAGAAGTGAAGGAGGGCACACTAAATATGAGACTGTTAATATTTGAAATTATGGAATTGTAGTGGAAGCACTAGAATAGCTGTTTAACCAAGATACATGTACCAAGGCTATGCATTGAAAATAAACATAAGTTGCCATGATTGGTTTTTCTTCAAGTTGACGCATTTTGTATGGGTGGTTCTAAACATCTGTGTGACTATACTAGTCTCAGTAGTGCCGAGACTGATTTCCATGAATGTACATGTAGCCTTGGAGGAATAGACCGTGAGAAAAACATGACTGTCATACTGCATAATTCCACAAAATCCAACATTAATTTGTCCCATTCTAATGCAGAATATCAACTGTTAAATCTCAAGTATATCTGGTACTATGTTGTAAACTTTGGCACACTGTTGTGCAGGAGACTGGTTTGATTCAGTTCCTCTGCTACAAACAAATACATAATTCTGCTTACATGTGTCCTTGCTCGATGGTTTCACATCATGTACAAAACATGAACCTTACAATGCATTTTATTTCAAGGCTGTAGGCATTTCCACTATGTGGAAATATCCGGAACTTCATCAAATTGGTCTTGATTAAGCTTAAAAACTGCCAAGGACATTGTGTGTGTTTGCCAGGGCACTTTTGTGCCAGATTATTTTAAATATGTTCCCAGCTGTTACATGATCCCCATCAATAAAAACATTCCAAGCCTTAATTTAATGAATGAATCATCCTCTATCTTCTGATAGATTAGTTTTGCATACATGTATACTCTATTCAAAGGGGTTGTTTTAATTCACTTGTACATGTAGTTTGTATGCATTACCTGTACAGAAAACTACAGTACACTGTATGTACAGTAATGTTTGCAAGTGCACTTTGTTAATGTTACAAATGGTACATCTACAGGTACAATGTACATGTATACACACATGTAAATGTACATGTACATACCGTACAGTAGGTGCCAGTGGTGCACAGCCACTGTTCTGTTTGGGTTTTGACAGAGGGATGCCAGACTGTCCTTTCGGCAGCCTATTTGTTTTCAAACATACATGTACCTGGTACATGTATTTGTAGGTTGTGCAATAATATTTATCAACCCAGACTGAGTTTATGTACCGGGGTACATGTACAGGTACACTGTACATGGAAGAGTATGTATGTACATGTATATATTAGTATTATGTATATATGTATGTATTATATTATGTATATATGTATGTATTATGTATATGTATATATTGAGATTACCAGTTGGACCTGAACTTTTGTCTTAATCCTTTCATATAACCCAGACCTTTTGTCGTCATTTTATCATAATTATTATTATTGCTGAGAAAATTGTTTAGAAAATTGCCCAGCAAACTGCTAATTTTGGATGAAATGTGAATACATTGTGAATATGGATTTGTAGCTTGGCATTTTTATAGTTAAATGCAGGTTTGAAATGAAAACATTCTAAAATTACGTATTTACTACATCTGAAACTAGAAACTGAATACTCAATTTTTTTTTTCATCAAAGTAAATAAAATCTTGCTAATCAAACAAACACTGCAG